GAAATACATGTTAAGTCTCATGCATGGGTAAAACATATAAACAGTTTACAAGAACTTATCTTTAATGCATGATGAAATGAACAAATACCATTTATTAAAGAGACTGTCGTTTTCCAGTGAACATGTTTGGCCCCTTTATCAAAGATATGGTGGTAGAGTGTGTTTGTAGTTGTGGTTGTATCTTCTAATCTATACAGTTGATCTCCAGATCTGTTTTTATTTCTGTATCATGTTGCTTTTATTGCAGTTTATTTGTAGTTTAACTTCAAGTCAGGGATTGTGATACTTTGCCTTTGCTGCTAAGAATTGTCTTTGATGTTCTAGGTCTCTTCTTGTTCCAGATGAAATTTAGGAGTGATTTCTCTAGAACTATAAGGTATTTTGATGGTAATTTCATTGTTATTCCATTGAATCTGTATAACAGTTTTGGGAGAATGACCATTTTCACAGTATTTATTTTTCCTATCCATGAACAAGTGATGTCTTTCTTTCTTTCTTTTTTTGAGATCCAATTCAATTTCTTTTTCAGGATATTATAATTTTCCCTGGATAGATATTTTACTTCTTTCATAAGATTAATTCCTATGTATTTCAATTTTGGGGATGCTAGTGTGAAGGGTGTGGCTTCTTTTGTTTCTCTCTCCATAATTTTGTTGTTGGTGTAGAAAGGCTATTGAATTTTGAGCATTGATTTTGTATCCATCTACATTGCTGAATTTATTTATTATATGTAGGAGTCTTTCAATGGAGTTTTGGGGGTCTTCTATGTACAGTATCATGTCATCTGCAAATAATGATAATTTAACTTCCTTTTTTCCTATCTTTACCCTTTTTATTTCTCTCTTTTTTCTAATAGCTCTGGTAGTATTTCCAGCACTATAACAAATATGAGAGGTGATAAGGGACCAGTGAGTGGACGCAAGGCAGGATAGGAGTAACAGGTGGGCTGCAATGTGAACTCAGGTTCAGCAGATCCCACAGTGCCCATGTGCTGTGTGGGCCAGCGTGCTATAGGCAGAAGGCCTGTCCCTTGCACTGTACCGACACCTCATCCAGCCCCAGAGCATCCCAAGAGGCCCAGCCCTGCCTGCCAAGGTCACCCCTCAACCAAAGGGACCCTGCCCCCACTGCCACCTCTGCTTGCTTCCAGGAGGGGCACTAGTAAAAGGGCAGGGTGAGAATGGCCACTTGGAGACACAGCACTTCAGAGACAGGGCAACAGGGAAAGAGGCCCCCAGATACTTAAGCCACATGTGAAGGCAGCAGGCAGTTCTGGGCTCTTAGGAGGACTGTCGGGTTTACCAAATAAAATCTGAGACATCTAATTAATTGTGGATGCCAGAAAAACTATGCTAGGACAAGTAGATACTAAACTAAGGAAAGCACATGCTTATGCTAAAAAAAATTACTACTGTTTCTCCAAAATGCAAATTGACTAGGCATCCAGTATTTTTACTTGGCGATCTTGAAAAGTTTGGAAAAAGCAAGCCAGGAGCTCACAGGAAGAAGCATTGCCTGTCCTGGGCTGGAGCTTTTCCTGTAGATTTAACTTTTTTAAAAGTATTTTTCTTTGCACTTCTTCCTCCCTCTTCCCTTCCTGCTAACTTTCCACTGTGATTTTAAACATCCACAAGCTTTGCAACTTTGAGCTCTGTGTATGTGGCCTGCACCCAGGGCCTGGTCTTCCTCCTGGGACAGGTCAGTAGTCCAAAGCATTCACAAGGTCTGCAATCACCACCGCCCCTCTCCGGAAGTGCTGGAACTTCCTGAATTAAAGTTAAAACCAGGCCCATCCAACGCCAAAACCTCTCCCTGCCTCACTTCGTGGGCCAGTGTCTCCCCAGGCATCCAGGCAACACATTTGTCCTAACCTGAGTGCTTTCACTCCCAAATCGAAGATTAAATCTGAAGACAGAAGGAGTTTAGGAGACTGTTTTTTGGAAATAATACGAAAAGAGCACAAATCCCTTGCCTTAGTCTCAAAGAGACAGGCAGAGCCCGACTCCTGTCTAGGAAGTGCGTGGGAAATGCTGGTGACCGCGCGTGTCCGGCCCCCGGTGTCCGGGTAACATCCAGGTCCGGAGGGGCGGGGCAGTGCTCCCCAGGACCTGGCGCACCTCCTTTCTCCGCGAGGAGCTCAGGCCTCGCTCTCACCTAGGCTTCGCTGGAGTTGGGGAGGGGGGGCGGAGCCTCAGCGGCTCTGAAGTCTGGCTGCTCCGCGCTCTCTTGGACACAACTGCACCTGGTGTTAGCCCGCAGCCCGGTTCTGCGTGGCGTCTCTGCCCCAGGCCTCCACATTCCTCATTTATTTGGCGCCAGGGAATCAGATCCAGGATCTCCTTGTATGCTAACCATGAGCGAGAGTTCTGGGAAGGAAGCGTCTTTTCCCACAGGGTAAATGGAGTCTTTGCTCCAGGCGGCTGAAAGCCTATGACAGCAGGAGGAGCGGGGCTGGGCGAGCGGCTGAGCCCGACGGGAGGGTAGCACTGGGAGCCGCTGGGGTGGAAGGTGGGTAGGCAAGCAGCGGGCTTCTGGGGCGTGGGGCTGCGGAGCCAGGTAGGAGCGCGGGCTGAGCCTCTGGCATGGGCGTGGAGTGTAGACAGGGGGCGGGGCTGAGCTCCTCCCTCTATTCTGCCATCGCCCCAGGTCCAGGCAGCACCACCAGCGTTCCCTGATTTTAAAATGATCGTCAAGTCAGGTAGGGTGGTTCATTCCTGTGACCCTGCCACTTTGGAGGTGGAGGCAGGAGTGTCGCAAGTTGCATCTCACTCTAAGATGACAGAGCCAGGTCCATGACCAGAAAGTGCTGGGTACATGGCAGACCTGGTGCAGGGCCCCAGCACCTCCCCTTGGACAAAAACTGCTCTGGCCCTACTGTGGGGCCCAAACAGTGCCTCACACCTGGGACTGAAGCTTTTGGCTTCTTAAGATTTGCATTTTCATGCATTTTAATGCATTAAAGCAAGAAACACTGATAAGTCACCAAAGTTCTGAGTTCAAGGGTACAACTGAAGTCAAGTAGCATTTTGATGATTAAAAATGTACTACTTGTTTGATCCACTTTCATTTCTTCATCAAAAACAGAAAAATGAAATTAACTAAGAATAAAATAATTCTTGAGAAGGAGTGGAATGGCTCTAGGGTGTGCAGGTATTATTAGGTAACTGAAGTCATTATTAGCACTAATGAGCAGCATATGTTAATATTGGTGTTATTGCTGCAGCATATGAAAATATACAGAAAGATGGCTCAAATGATTATCTTCATGATAATTATTTAAGGCTACCAGATATCAGGAGAGGAGATGATAATGTAGACCATTATGATTAATTTGGTCCTTAGGTCAGAATCCAGTCACTTAGTGCTTTAACTCACATAAACTTTTTTTTGGTACCAGAAATTCAAGTCAGGACCTTTACTTGCCAGGCAAGTGCTATGCTGTTGAGCTATATCCTCATCCCTCTCACATGCTTTTAAAAAGTAAAAAGAAATTGATGAAATCAGTAATATATTTTATTTCACCTAGCAGGTTTATATGGAGTCACTGCAGCATGGAATCCATATAAACCTATTTTCCATTATTGTTTCTCTAAGCCTTTGGATTTCGGGTGCTCTTTGTACTGAGTGCCCCTCAGTTCCAGAAAGCCACTCTTCCAGTGCTTCCTGTCTGCAGCAGAGCTGGTCCCAGTCTGGGCAGCACTCATGGGTGGCAGCTGTCCTGAGGCTACCTAGCCTCATTCCTTGTCCTGTTCCTGCTTCCTCCCACTGGAGAACAGTGTGATCTGCTAAGAGGCTTTTTCTGGGCTCCTGACCCAGAAGCAGTTTCTCACTTAGCACTTTACAGGAGGCTGGACTGGATGCTTATCCTGAGAGTTCTGCTGTCTCTGAGGCTGTTTCACTGCCTTGTAGTGTCTTTTACATCTTTGTAGTAGTCCTGGTCTCCACCTAAGAGCTGAGCAGTAGCTGTCTGAAGACCACAGGAGGACGCCTCAGGGTGGCCACATTCACACCCAAAGTTCCTTGTTGAGGAGGAGACTGAGCCTGGATTTCTCCCTCACTCCCTGGTTGTGTAACTAAGGAGGAGTTCATCCCAGCACAAGCAAGGAATGCACTTTCTTTCTGTTTCCCTCTCCTGATGGGAGAAGCAAAGGACTGAACTAAGTCAGGGGCATGGATGCATCAGAATTAGTACATGACAGGGAGATCTTGAAAGGCTATGGTGGTCTTGGAGGAGGCCATGTCTGTCTCAGGCTGGGGGGCCCCTTCACCCCTAATGTTGCTGGATAGGAAGGCAATGGGGAGTGTGGAGTAATTCCAGGCCCTGCAGAGTCACAGCAGGTTCAGTCTGGGAACCTGGGCCTGGCTTTCCTGGAATAGTGGTGTGGAGGGGAGCTGGATGCTGGGGAAGTGAAAGAGGAGACCAATCATCTCAAGGAAGCACCATCCACAGAGAGTGTGGAAGCCATGGAGGGGAAAAGGGAGAGCTCAGGAGACTGCGGGGGCTCCAGAGGAGGCTGCAGTCGGGGGGGGGGGGGATTTTGACATGTTGCCTTGTGCATTTTGTCCTTGGAACTGAAGACTTCTTCAAGAGCAAAGGCAGGACTGGGATGAGCTCAGTGGCACAGTTCCTGCCTGGCAAGCACAATTTTCTGAGTTTGATTCCAAATGAGAGAGGGAGAGAGAGAGAGAGAGAGAGAGAGAGAGAGAGAGAGAGAGAGAGAGACAGAGAGACAGAGAGACAGAGAGACAGAGAGACAAAAGGCAGATTGAAATCTGCTGCAGAATTGGAGATGGAAATAACAGAGGTTCCAAAAAGGCAAGCACATACATGCCTTGCAGTTCCTTCGTTTTGTCTCCTCCTGGTCCTTCACCCCTTGCACCCTCCTTCCTTGGCCGTCTTTTCGCCAGCCTGGAATTTGTTGTACCGAGGGTCCCTGGCTGCTGCCCACTGTCAAAGGAATGCCCCCTCCAAGGTCCTGAAGTTCCTGCCCCACCCACAGCACCACGAGCACGGTGAGGACTCCCCACCCCTCGGCCGGCCAGACCTACGCCATCCCTCTCTTCCCGCCAGACCTGTGGTGCGAAGCACGTGGCTGATGTCCTGCAGTCCCTGAAGGAGGTCTCAGGAGACATCTTTAGCAGGTGGGTGCTGGCCTCCCGGGCGGAGCCGAATTCTGGCTCTGCTCTCCCAAGAGCTATTGCTGCAGTTCCGTCTGCAGCCAGCAGAGGGTGACCCGACCCCAGCCACGCAGGGTCCTGAGTCGGCCTGTGTGTGTCTGGTCTGCGGGGACAGCCCGGTCCACTGCTGGAGGGTGGAAGGCGCGAGAAGCAAGGCCCCACCCCAGGCCCGCGCCCCACTCTCGCCAAGTCGGGTCAGGCTCTGACAGTGGTTGCAGCTTGGCTTCCCGCAGTTTCCTCCTCTGACAGAGCCCAGGTTCTCGCAGTGAGATCCTCTGCTGCACACACAGGTGATCATGGTGGGCCCCGAGAAGCTCAGCCCCGTGAAGTGAGGACCCTTCGTGTAGGATGGTCACAGTGCCTCCCTCCGACAGCCACAGGGAGCCCAGAGGGGAGAAGGGAGCCAGGCCGAGAGCCCGCAGGGGGGTGCCTGCTGCCTCTGCAGGAGGCAGAGTTGGGGTGGCCTGGTGCAATCTGGCTGTGATCTTTGCACAACAAAATCTCCTGGCCTGAGGAGCTGAGCTACAGGACGCTGTGGGTCCTCAGGGAAGGGATCTCCACGAGCCAGGCCAAGATCTGAAGCTCAAGGGCAGCCAGAAGGTCATCAAGTTAGGGAGCCCATGCCCATCATCCCCGCGCCCCCGGCCCGCCGTGTCCCGCAGCTCCCCAGCCCTAGATCCATGCCCACAAGTGTTCTCCAGCTCCAAGTTCCTCGCCCCCAAGTCCCCGTAGGACTACAGCTCCTCCGTCTTCTCCAGTGCACAAGAACCAGGCCTCCAGTCACCGCCGCTGCGCTGCTTCATCCAGAACAAGCACCAGCCGCTGGACGAGCGGGCCCTGCAGGTCTGAGGGCCAGGCCAGGGCGCGGGCAACGGGTCCACACAGGCTGCTGACCCCCCGAGGCTTCCGGCGAGGACTGAGTGGGGTTCACGGAGCCAGGCGCTGAGCCCCCCGAATCCCTGTCACCTCCAGGAGAAGCTGAAGTTCTTCCCTGTATGTGAGCACCAAGCAAGAGCCGGAGGATGAGGCCAAGGAGGGGCTGGGGGACTCCCCAGCAACATCAGTTCGGCCAGCTCCCTGTTGCTGTTCAGCGCCCCTTTAGGGCCCGGGGGTGCTGAGGGGGTTCGGGGCTGCACGGCACTATGTCTGGTGCAAAGCAGATGTGAGAGCTCTTGAGTCCTGGGCATGCAAGAGCAGGCTGCAACCCAAAGCAAGAGGGATGGTCAGGGACCTGAGCCTGCCTGATCCCCAATTACCCTGCAGATACAAGAAGTACCTCTTCCTGGACCCATTGCCAAAGACCCACGTGATGCTGGAGGAGGAGAAGCTGTTTCAAGCCCCTCTGTCCAAGGGGGCATTACCAAGAGAAAGCAGCTTGAGCAGCAGGTGGGGAGCACTGGAGGCTGGGGCCCTGGGAATCTCAGCCATCCTGAGGTATGGAGGGCTCTCTGAGCCTCAGAGTGACCCTGAAGACCATGTCCTTGTGTGGCAGCTGTGGCTCACATATTGCCCCGCAGGTCCCCCCTGAGAACTACATCTAAGTGCCAGACCTGGGGAGGGTACCTGAGACTGATATCCTGTTCTACCTGCTTGACCTGCCAGGCATGGCTGATGACCTCATGTACAGTGCCAACCTGGGCCTGGGCATCACCCTCTCTGCCCCTGGTGCCATCCTGGAGCTTCCTTCCTTCCAGCAGAGGTGGATGCACCTTTGAAGGCTGTTGAGTTGGGTACTGGGCAGTGGACTGCACTGGGAGCTCCCTGACTCAGCCTGCTTCCTGCAAACTGAGCCTCGCACCTGTGTTCCAGACCTCGAGGGCAGGGTTCTTGTAGCACTCTCACTGCCTGCTTTGCACCACCAGGGCCTCCCCCAGCTCCTGCAGTGCTAGCCAGTGCATCTGGTGCTGTGCAGCATCTAGGAGCACAAGTTGGAGAAGAAGCAGGAGCAGGAACATGGTGAGACCCCCTCCTGCTGCCATCAGGACCCCAAGCAGAGGCACATCAGAGCTCCAGGGCTGTCCCCCTGCAGGTGGGGTGCTATTGGAGGCCTGGTTGGCTTCCCTGACACCCTAGTTCTGGGCTCCTGCTTGGGACTATGTGCCCAGCTCAGCCAGCTCAGGATGCACCACGGCGGGTCCCTGGGGGCTTCCGAGGGGTCTCCATGCTCTTAGGGAACTCAGGTGAGTGCAGCCCTCAGCCTCTAGGCTTCCTGGGGCCACTGGTGTCTTAAAGGGGTGTTGGGAGCCGCGGCCAACACCGGTCGCCTTACTTGGCGGACGTAGGGCCTGTGGGTGGGAGCGGAGCCTGAGCTAGATTGCCCCTCCCATCGAGTGAGTCAAGTTGGCGCCTGCTTCCTGCCCCCTGATTGCGCTGGCGACTTAAACAACCCGCTCTGTAAGATAGTCTGCCTAGCAACAACTGATGTTAGCCAATCAGCCCGCATCGCGCGCTTTGAACTGATTGGCCACTGTTACCCTATAAAAGTAAATGCCTCTCCCGCCACAAGAGGGAAGCACAGAAAAAGCACAGAGAGAGATAGAAAAAGTCCACTGGCGAGAAAGGGCTGGTGGCAGAGAGGAGGCCTCGCGGGGCCCACGCGGAGACAAATAAAGGCAAGGTTGCACACCGCCAGACTTTGTCGTGTGTCTTTCCTGCCGGCCGGGAGCGACATCAACATTTGGTGACCCGCACGGGGACTGATCAACCCCGAGACACGGCGGTGGTGTGCAACGCTCCAGCGTGGTGCTGCCGGACAGGTGAGTTGGGGATAAGCCTGGGCTCTGGGTGGCGCGCACCTACAGGGCTTTTAGACTCCCCTCAGGCTCACGCGTAGGTGACGGGTTCTTTAAGTCACACGCGGTGAGTTACAGCCATTAGAGGTTAGAGATGGGTAATTTACCGAGCGCGGAGGCGCGGCCCTTGGTAAAGGCCCTTAGGAAGCTTTTAAAAGCTAGAGACCTCAGGGTAGGTCAAAAAACACTAGAACTATTCATAGCAGAGATAGATAGGGTGGCTCCCTGGTTTTTACCCACGGGGCATTTAAACCTGCCGTCATGGGAGAAGTTAGGCGGGGACCTCGCTTCGGCGGAATTGGAAGGGGATATTTCGCTGGCTATTCGCCCCCTGTGGGAAATGATACATGCGTGCCTTGACTCCTATGCCGAGTTGCGCCGCGAATTGTGTGCGTGCGCCGCTCGAAAAAAGCAGAGAGAGGAAAAAGGGCCCCCAAGAGCCCTCTGGCGGGGAGGAGATAGAGAGCCATCCGCTCCGCCCTGGAGCTCTTCTCCAGAAGCGGCTCCCCGTCGAGAGGCCGCTACAGGGAACCCTCCCTTCTCTCAGCCGGCACAGGAAGTGATGCCCCGTTCCACTCTGTTGCGACCGCTGTCCTATGACGTTGCGCCGCGGGGCGGACGGTATTTTCATGGGCGGCTACTCTGCCGAGCAGGCTGAGAAAAACGCCGGTCGAGAAAACGGGGGCTGGGGATTTAGCTCAGCGGCATAAGCGCCTGCCTTGTAAGCAGGATATCGCGAGTTCGATCCCTGGTACCGATAAAAAAAAAAAAAAAAAAAAACGAAAAAGACCAAAAATAAAAAAATAAAATAAAAAATAAAAAATAAAAAGGGGGAGTAAGCCAAGGCCTGCCTCCAAAGGCGCGGTTATCTATGGCATGACAATGGATGGGCCCGGATCCGGTGGTTAGCTGGAACCGAGGCGCGGTTTGTGTTTTTCCGCAGGAACCGGGACGAGAACCACTGTGGGTCCCAGAGAGGTTGCAACAAGTCCCTCGACTGAAGATCAGGCCTGTTCCACCAGAGGCCAACCGCAGACCCAACAACAAGATGAGCCCTAAAAGAACTGCAGGACAATCCCTTTTTGGGGAGCCTGGAATGGCTTGCTCCCCTATGTTTTACCATTGTTAGGTCCCCTGTGCTCCTTGCTTCTGCTCTTACTTGTAGGACCATTCTTGCTCCGATGGGTTACATCATTTATTAATGGGCGCCTTGCGGCGGCCTGGCGTCAAGTACGCCTGGTTGCCCATGCGGCCCTGGCAGCAGCCCGTGATGGGCACAATGACCCCCAGGCTTACGCATGGCTCGCTCGACTGGCCTACGACTGGGTCTAGGTGTGGCGGGTCTTCCGCATTCCTTCCCTAATGACACCACACAGCAGGGTAGGTGAGTCAATGACGGGTAAGAGCGTGCCTCCCCAGCACGACTCGACCTAAGCCAGGCCCTACCCCATACTGCACGAAAGCCGCTGGATTACTAGAATCTGCCCAGATCTAGATGCCTCTCCGAGGGGATCACACGGAGGGGCATGAGTGCATGCCTATGTGCATCCAGGTTCCGTCCAGTTCACTCCTGGCCCTGGAAAAAGGACGAGGGTCTCAAGGCCTTGGCGGACCCGGGGCGGCCGACCAGGGTCCAAGCCAAGGGCCTACGGTGGGCCTCAACACAGGGCATAAGCCTCTGCACTCAATCCAGGGCGGGCTGCGATGCATACATTCATTCAAAGTAAATAAATTAGGGGGAGATGTTGGGAGCCGCGGCCAACACCGGTCGCCTTACTTGGCGGACGTAGGGCCTGTGGGTGGGAGCGGAGCCTGAGCTAGATTGCCCCTCCCATCGAGTGAGTCAAGTTGGCGCCTGCTTCCTGCCCCCTGATTGCGCTGGCGACTTAAACAACCCGCTCTGTAAGATAGTCTGCCTAGCAACAACTGATGTTAGCCAATCAGCCCGCATCGCGCGCTTTGAACTGATTGGCCACTGTTACCCTATAAAAGTAAATGCCTCTCCCGCCACAAGAGAGAAGCACAGAGAGAAAGCACAGAGAGAGATAGAGAAAGTCCACCGGCGAGAAAGGGCTGGTGGCAGAGAGGAGGCCTCGCGGGGCCCACGCGGAGACAAATAAAGGCAAGGTTGCACACCGCCAGACTTTGTCGTGTGTCTTTCCTGCCGGCCGGGAGCGACCCCGACAAAGGGGGTCCACCCCCACCTGCTCACCGAGCTTCCCCTGCAGTGAGAGCCATGGGCCAGGGTGGGATCTGATGTCCAATTTCTTTAACAAGCTGGTTGTGAGGCGCAAAGGTAGGCAGGCACCAGGGGTGCTCTGCCTGTCCCCATGACCAGGAGCAGGTGGCACCTGGGCCTTGGCTTGCCCTCTCTCCCTCATCGGCCCTTCCATCCCAGGCATCTCCAGGAAAGGCCCAGAGCCAGGGAGAGTAGGGGCCCAGGAGGAGCCTTTGCCTGCATGCTGGACTCTATCCCACCAATGACGCCCACACAACAGCCCCCAAGAGAGGAGGATGAGGACGACTGGGAGTCCTATGGGCTTGGGCCTCTTGCCCTCCTGCAACCTGACTTCACCAGTTCTTGCAGGCATCCCAGTGCTGTGCAGGGTCCTGTGGGCTCCCCATGGTACAGCACTGTCCTCTCTAAGAAGAAATGCACCAGGAATGAATAAAGCAGGGCAGAAGAAGCTGCACAAGCAAGGGGTGCACGATGCATTGGGAAGGGTGACCAGGCAGGACACAGAGGTCTCCTGGAGCCCAGGCTGTCTTCCTCCCTGTGGGTTCCCTCTGGTGGGGTTGGAGGCTCAAGACCAAGAGCCCTTTCTCTACATTGGGTTGAGAGGAAGGAAGCCAGGAGCAGGGAGGGGAGGGTACCTTTCCACAAAGTGTCTTGGGGATGGGCACAGGGTCTCTTGTGCATCTTAGTTAGGGGGAAGGTAGAGGAAGAGTGGACCTCAACATAGGAAGGTAGGTGCTGAAGGGAGTTGGGGTTGCTTTTGATGGCAGGCAGAGTGTGAGTTGTGATGGCCAGGTCCTGGTATGAGCTGCCCTGGGCTGGGCCCCAGTGTGGCAGGACCCACTGTTCTGTATACTCCTGCTGACTTCACTGAGCAACCCTGGACCCTGGCAGCTGCTGGCTCAGGGTGGGGATGGTGGGGACCCCAAAGGCATCAGGAGGGCCCCACCTTCTCCCAGTGAATCTGTGGACACAGGGAAAAGATGTGAGGAACCACCTCTTGGGCTGGGGGCTGGGAAGGAGAGGGCCAGCCTGATCTTCTGCAGTGATGCAAACACAGCACCAAAGGGGGCTTTGCCCTCCATGAGGTCTCTGATCCAAGCCGGCAGCTTTGACTGCTCTGGGGAATGCACTGGTTCAGAAGCACAATGCTGGCGAAGTCCTTCTGGTGCCAGATGGCCATAGAGCTGGGGCTTTGAGTACCCTCCCTACAATGCAAGTCCTGGGTCCCCTCCCCTTTTCATTCCTCAGCTGGGAGAGCAGCAGGAAAGTTCTCCCATCCTGTCACCCGTCCTGCCACCCATCCAGTCCCAACTGCTCTTCCCAGAGTCAGGGAAGCTGCAGCTCACCAATGGATTTGTTGACAGCTTTAATGTACAGATTTGCCTTCCCTGGGGGCACCTGCCCTGGGTTCCTGGGCTCTAATGGTAAAGGAGACACAAGTGGATGCACCTATCACCTCCTGCCTGGTTACCCTCCTATTCCTGTGGAAAAACCGGGGCCTTAAAAGCTCACGCCAGCAGGTGTGACAGGGGGACCTTGCAGAGACACCGAGAGGTCAAGGGAACATCCTTGCACTGCTGATGTGGACAGGCAGCATCCACACAGGGGTCATGGTGTGGAGCTTCGTATTACAGACTGAAGAGCCACCACAATCTCCATCCCCAGACCCCCGAGCCTCTGGAACCCCGCAGGACTCATGAGACACTGATCCGAGTAGGCCAGCATCAGAAGGCTGCTGCAGCTCAGGAGACCAGATATTGGGGTAGAGCATGCATGGTGATGGTGGCATCACCAGGCACCTGGGGGACATGGAGGTAATGTCTGGGGCTCCACCTATGCTCTGCCCACCAGATCCAGCCTGGGACAATGAATGGAGTCTCCTAGGCCTCAGCCTGGCTTCCTGCTCCACAGTCAGCCTGCCCCTCCCTGCTACGCCCTTAACACACTGGGCACCCCGCCTGCATACAGACCCTGCAGCCTGAAATCACTCCTAAAATACATCTGAAGTGAGAAGAGACCTAGAATAGCAAAGACAGTTCCTAGCAGCAAAGGCAAGGCAGGAGGCATCACAATCCCTGACTTGCAGTTATACGACAAAGCAACAGTAGTAAAATCAACATGGTACTGCAAACAAAACAGAGCCAAAGGTCAATGGAATAGATTAGAAGATACAACCACAACTACAAACACACTCAAACACCTTATCTTTGATAAAAGAGCCAAACAGATTCACTGGAAGAACGACAGTCTCTTTAATAAATGGTGTTGGAAAAACTGGCTCTCCATATCTTGAAAACCAAAACTAGACCCATGCCTATCACCATGTACTAAATTAAAGTCAAAAAGGATCAAAGATCAGAATATCAAAACAGAAACATTAAATCTATTGGAAGACAAATTGGGTAGAACCTTTGAAGACATAGGGGTAGGTAGAGAATTCATGAACAGGACTCAAACTGCACAGGAAATACTTCCCAGAATCAATAACTGGAATCTTACTAAAAAGTTTCTGCATGTCAAAAGAAATCTCCAGCATAGTGAAAAGAAAACCCACAAACTAGGAAAAAAAAATCTTAGTGAACTGTCCTTCAGACAAAGGACTTCTTTCTAAAACATAAAAGATTTTTTAAAAAAAATCAGACCCCCAAAATTCAAAGATCCAATCCAAATATGGGCATCTGAGGTGAATACATACTTCTCAGATGAAGAAATACAAATGGCAAATAAATACATGAAAAAATATTCATCATCCTTAGTCATTAGAGAAATGTAAATTAAAACCACATGGAGATTTCATCTCACTCCTGAAAGAATGGCCAAGATCAAGAAAACCATCAACAACAAATGTTGGAGAGGCTGTGGGGAAAAGGAACTCTTCTGCAGTGTGGTAGGATTGTAGACTGTTTCAACCATTGTGGAGGTCAATCTGGAGATTTTTCAAAAACCTGGGATTGGAAATCCCATTTGTTCCAGCTATCCCACTTCTAAGCATATTCCCAGAAGAACTGAAAGCATCATACCACAGTGATATATGTGCATCTATGTTTATAGCAGCACAATTAGTAATAGCCAGATGTTGAAAACAACCCAAGTGTCCATCAACTGAGGAATGGATAAAAAAGTTGTATTTTTATACAATGGAGTACTACTCAGCTATAAAAACGATCATATTGAGATATTTATATATTTATTTTTATTTAAAGAGAAAAAAAGAAAGGACATGAAAAACAAAGCATTAAAAGTGTACAAATAATACAGAATTTCAAGAAATAAAATATACAGTAAGAAATCACCAGTTAATAGGTTACATATTATCTTCCCAGAAACAGTTGTCCAAATTACAAAATTAAAGCATATAAAGTGGACAATCATACAGTGACATGGGAGACAGTTCTGTTCAATGATCCAGCAAAAGCTCAGTAATATGGTTTTCCATCATACACACTCAAACATACCTGTGGTTATATCCCTTAGTCCACCTTCCTTTCTTCTCTTTTTTACAATAACATTTAGAATTTTTTGGTTTTATTATTCCCACAGTTCTTATTAATTTTTTGAAGAGAATAAAACCAAACATGACTGAGCAAAACAGAGTCAAAACAGAAGGGTGGGCATAGTACATGATGCAAAAATAGAATACCAGGTGATCAAAAGTGGTTACCATTATGGCTCTTGCTATTTTTAAATTGAGTTGCCTATATCATCAGGTATAATAGAATTGATCAAAACAGTACAGAACAAGACCAATAAAACCTACACTGGAGACCTTACAAGACTTCAAAAAAAGGATAATAGTTAAACCATAATGGGCATCATAGTATATCTTATTGCCTTCAAAGTGGTTGCCTATACCCTCAAACTTGATACTATCAAACAAAATAGAATATAGAATAATCAGACAAAACAAGATAGGGAGAGCAATACTGGGGCTCAAATCAGGTTAATAGGAAAATGAAAAGTTATTATAATATGTCCTGCTATTTTTTAATTTAGTTTTCCCTTAATTAAAAAAATGAGAGAAAATAGATTAATTTAAAAATAGGTGGGAGATTGAGATAAGAGAGGACATTGTAACAGAACAATGCAGGTCAGAACCGAACAATTTAAGCATCCTTGTGTTTCATCACCAGATAATCTAACATAATAGTAGTCACCATAGTGCCTCTTTCCTTGAATTGAGTGTAACATCGTATGCTATAGCATCAAGCATATCAAGGCAGTGTGACGCCATTCAAGAGAATGCAAGAATTACAGGGTACTTACAACCACCTAATAGAAAACGAACAACGGCTTCTATATTCTCTCTTTGCCTATGAAGAATTTTGTTTATACTATCACACAGTGAAATATAGTAAGATACAACATGTTAAAACCAGTGGAAACAGATGTACCACAGCTTGATGGGACTTCAAAACAAGATGATTTTAAATCAGCACTAGCTTTTATGTTGTGTTGTTTTCTTCAAAATAGGCATTCATACTATCACAGATACTAAGATCAAACAACCCAGGTTAAAACTGAAAGGGTTGCTGGCTCAGACCGGATGCTATAGCCAGAAAAAGCCTCAGCCGGAATTAGGGAGCTCCTGCCTCCCCCACCCCTAGAGATTTACCTGTAACCCTATACCCCCACCCCTAGAAATCTGTCCCTAGCACCAAACGTGTGCCAATGAAATACCTGTGCATCTCTAATGGTCTTAGGGCACCGCCCTAAGCTTAGGCTATTTATATTCCCCCACGCCACGTGTCCGCGAGAGAGATCGCCAGATTCCAGCGGCCAGCACGCCAGTCCTCTCTCCCCATGTTCCCAGAATAAAGGCCTCTTTTGTCTTATACTCCTCAACTTTTGGAAGCATCTTTCATACTCTGAAAATAACCCTATCATTTGGTGCCCTGTGACTCA